AAAAAAAAAAAAAAAAAAACACGAGATCGCATGAGAATCTTTTATTGGGATCACCAAAAAGAAAAACAAAAAAAAAACGAATGAGAAATAAAACAAAAAACAAAAAAAACAAAAAAAAATCTTCCTCAGTTTCTTATCTCTATACCTCTTTACTCGATACGACTGCTTTTACTAAAGCAACATTTCTCTTCTTTTATCACCTCCAATTTTTTATTTTATTTTATTTTATTTTATTTTATCCGTTCTCATTTCTTTTTTTCAATCTCTTTTAAAAATTAAATATGTACCCTCATGCAAGCTCATCAATTTCCAATTTTAGTCCAACATTGGGTGGATTTTGAAATTTGGGTCATTTCATTTTCTCACTACAAGTATCTTGATCATAGTTTTTTTTTATCCGGAACGTCCCGACAGATCAACCCGGAGTCAGAACCGATTCTCGGGTGGGATATTGAACCGGGCAACAAAGGACCCAGTCAAAACCCGACCAACTCGGCCTTGACTCGACTGATCTGGTGCATCGAATAAATAAAATAAAACAGATAACACGAAATTACGATGGTACCACACAAATCACTTAATACAAGATAATTTATGTAAAATAATATTTTTTTACTATGACCCCAAATATCATGATTTGTTACTCCTACAATAAATCACTTCAAAGCATAAGAGATATTTTATTATGTATAATCAATAATTTAGAACAAATGGCTTTGGCTGTCACCAGGGGCGGACGCAGACATTTAAGAGTAGGGGGCACAATGCAAATCATAAAATGAAGAACCAAAAAAATAACAAACGTTACATTATAATTGTGCGATAGTCGGGAATGATCATCATGCCAACATCAACATGATTTTCTTGGTTTTTTCTTTGGATATTTCTTTTATCGGCAACACTCGTATATTTTCGTTTATAATATTTCTCCATTACTAATATGACAAATAATAATAACATTAGGTTATAACTTAAAAAATTACGAGCTAATTTTAAAACTATTATTACAATTATGAAGATACCTAAAACAAATAATACATACAAAATGCGCAACAAATAAGAAATAACATTTAAGATGCTATTTTATCAAAATCATGAAAGCCCTAAATTAAAAATTAAATCAATTTTGAATATTCTCATATACAAAATTATGGTTATAAAAACTAGAAAATAATTAAATAAAACATACTTTTTGAAATAAAAATTGATAGCCCACTGAAGATGTAGAAGTTGAAACCAAATTATTGAAAGATTTTTTATTTATTTTTATCCTGCACTTGTTGTCCATCTCCAATCTAGAAGGAATTTTGTAACAATGCAGGAAGAGAAAATAAAGTAAAAAAAAAAAAGGAATGTTCAGTCATGCGTGACCGAAAGAAAAAAAAAAAGAAAAAAACTTGGTTGAGTTGTAGTGGGGGCCGGGCCCACAAGAAAGTCAATTTAATTAAATATTGTATATATCATTGCACACTATTATATACAATATATTAGTTAAAAAAAACTTGGTTCAGGCCCAGAAGATAAGTTAGTAACATTAAATAGTATACATATTACATTATACACTATTATATATGTACTAGTTAAAAAATTTCACCTCACAGGGGCACGTGCCCCTGCGGGACCCCCCTTGGGTCCGCCCCTGGCTGTCACACACCGTACTCGCCAAGAAGATACTTAACAAGCACACGTGTGACTGGCGAAAGATGTAATTTCACACAATGGGCTGTAATGGGCTTTGCCTATTTGCCAGAAATGATCGGGCCCGAAGTTATTGATTAAAGGGCGTGGGACCCACTGGGCTTCGACTTTGGTTCACGCACGTGTACATGCGCGACAGGACTTGGACAAATAGGCCAGCCCACCACGTGCGCCCAAAAGTCCATTGGGTTTTCAAACAGTGTTACGGTTGAGAGTGCCAGGTCAGGTGTGGGCCAATGCTCACCTAGGCCCTACCCACCAACAAAAAAAAAAA